AGCGTTCAATCTTAATCTTTAGCTATTGTAAAAATGGGAGTTGTCGAGATCTACCTGAGCTCGAGGCTCCCCTCTCTTCCTCCAAACGAGAGGGAGCCCAGGGCTCAAGAACCTTCGAGCTCAGGGCTCTCTCCCGGGACAGCATGCCAAACTTGCTTATAATCAATCATCAGCTAAGTGTGAACTCTTGAAATGACTACCACAGTACAACAGCATGTCTCAACAACTCTTCAGAATTTGCCATCTTCAGGCCCGAGGATACCAATATTGGTCCTCCTGATGACAATGCCTTACCATGCTTTCCGAAATTCGAAGGTTCAGTGTTAGACCATGACTTACCGTGCTTTAAGCTAATCAAATCTTCAGAAGCGGACAATGGAAAATTTTGCCGAACTAGGATACATAAATATCAGGATTATTAAATATCAGGTTAAGATGTTTGAGTAAAGTTTAACTTTTTCACGTTGATCCAAATCGGTCCTGAGTAAAATATTTCTTATACCCGTATCAAGATCATTCTCTGCGACCTGTTGAATGTTCTCGCGAGTGTTTGTTGATTGTATTTTATCCAGCTGATTCTGTGGTACAAGGTACATTTTCTCAGCATACTCCATCCTTTAACCCTGTCTAGATGCGATCAAACTTGAAATAAATGGTACTGCGACACTTAGGAGCGGTAAATGAAATCCACTGGTCTGATTAAAGACTTTTTTCTTAGCCGCTATGTTGATTTTTTTATTAGCAAGCAATTTTATCTCCGCCCTCTTCTTTTTCAACTTTCTGTATTGCTGTCTGCTGATAGAGATAACTCCGTGTAGGATGTTGAGAGCTAGTTCACACAGCGCTAAAATGAGGTCATCAGACGCCGACTGAAGAATAAGTCGTCTTTGTTTAGGACTAGATTTATGTAACATTTTTAATACAGGTAGATATTTACACAGTCTCGAGGACATGGCTCGTTATTACGTTCTTTTTTTCTGGAGATAGACCACCTGGCGATCTGAAAACAATCCTGTTCTGAGACGATATTGTTCCGGAGTTTTAGCTTTATAGTCTATCAAGAGATAGCCAAAAGGGCTCTTGACGGCTCTTGATAACAGTCCATAAAATATTTTGACTTTGACTACTACATAACCTTTCTCGATCGCTTTTAAAAGCTCAATACTGACCCAGCACCCAGAAAGAGCCCTCTCATCATCCGTGTGATCACAACTTGATGTCTGGTTTTCTACTTTCATACCATAAACACTTTGTAGAATTTCGACCTATTCGTCTGACCGAGTTCTGAGTACGCCGTACGGGACCGCCGACAGTCGGTGTAGGTCGTGGGGCTCGTAGCGGCAATGATGTCCATGGTGGAAACAGCCGTTAAATTCGAGAGCATACTTGCCCCGCCCTGTTCATAATACCAGTCTAAGAAAAATTTACCGATTTGCATTTCTCCATGATTCAGAGCATGAACGTCAACGTTTCTAGACTTTTTTTAAATACTCCAACCACTCGATCGATACGCTTGAGAACGTCTTATTTTGCTAAATGTATGCATTATTATGGGTTAGAGCCACACTGTCCTCTACGAGATAATGAGTTTTGAAGACCCCCATACAGCAACTTGCAAGAGTCATGAAACTGAATGGATCGATTTGAGTACACTCTATGAAGGATTCATGATATTTCATACACGATTCGCGTAGCAAGATAACATCGTTTTCGCCATAGTGGTACAACTGCTCCTTAAAGTTAAAGATGGAGCATGAAGCAGTAGTGTACCATGCATTGAACTTTGCTCGATCTTTTTCAGATAGGTTGTCATACCCATAGAACTTTTTGTCTGGGATTGGTCCGATATAGTTCTCATTTTTTTTCTATTGAAATGATGCGGAAAGTAAACTTTTTCTGTCTTGGTGAGATTTAATGCTGCTGGCATCTTCGAAAGAGCCATCGGGATGAATGATATGCTATCGATGTAACGGAGTTCGAACACATATTCAAGCATGAATATTAGTTTACATCCTGGCATGATGATGTCCATTTTTAGACCGGCTTTGCAGTAATATTTAAGATTTAGAAAGGAGTCAAATCTGGACGCGTTATGAGCTATAAAACAGTAGCCTTTGTATTTGGGTTTTCTGAAATGTGTACATTTTTTCCACACAGTCAGTTCCTCCAGCTACAATTCTTGTACCGCAAAATGTTATCGCGCAGAGTCTTTCAGGGTTAATAAAACATTTATGCATCCCTGCGGTGGTAAGTTCTTCACGACATGCCCAACAACGAATCGGGGTGCACTCATGCTGAGACTTATACTTTTCGTAATGTCTACCACAATCCTTGAAGTATTTTATAACGTTGCAAGGCACTTCTTTCATGCACCGGTTTCCTGTGAGCATCGTAGGAGTAAACCGATTTGCAATAACGCAAACAATCGGGGCAATGGATGTTTTTTTTAGGATGCTTGTAGCATTCACTGTCAAAACAGACATTACACACGTAATCGCATTGGTGGTGTCTAAGGTACAAGAACCCTTTATAGCAGAATTCATACAAATAGCTAGCACCTATAAAAGACTTCAAATTGAGAATCATGTAGTAATGTTCGTCTTGTAGATAAAGAAACAACGTTTTGAGGTGCGGCTCTTTGTTATTTACGTAGGTTTGTAACACACCGATGTTTGACCTATAAAAAACTATTTTTACATCAAACAGTCATTCAAATCTATCAATGTTGTGAAGGCCTACTTCCTCATGGATAGCAAGACCAGCTTTATTGTGTATGATCACTGCACGGTTTTATTAATTCACACTATGGTAATTCAGGCTCTAGAAAATGTGCTAGACATATAGAGAAGCACAGTTTGTTTGATATGTTTGTAGATATAAATAAGCTCTTCTTTTTTCTTTTGATTACCTGATCAAATGCCAAATCAGTAGGTTTACACTGAGGCCGACCACCTCCTAGTCTGTTCATTACAACATCAGCTTCAATCTCGACAGTTTCGAATTTTCACAATTTGGTCCGTAAAAAGATTAACGTCAGAGTTATTACTCGGTGTTAAAACAGCGTTTACATCAGATTTCAGAACTGGACGGATGCATTGTTTTGTTATTACCCGCATAATCTATCACACTACTAGTCGACGGTTGTTCATATTCAATCGGGATATCTGACGGTCTCCTGCTAGTGTCGTTATAAAAAATGGCATCCTGAGTTAGTGCTCCACCGGCCTGTTCGCTAGATAATAGCGTTTGTAAGTATTCTGCAAAATTTAATTCATTTTCCAGATCAGTCTCTTCTAAATTTGAACTTTGTAAAATAGAATTGATGTTAAAAGCATAGTCTCTAGAATTTAACTGCAAATTATCTAAGAATGTATCTGTATGAGTCTCGATAGGACTTTATCTGTTACACCACAATGATTGATCTGGTTGGTTTTTGTGTGCATCATCCGTGGTATTTACATTACCCATTACAGCTATTTATTTACTTGATTCTTATTTCGGATTTTAAATGTTTATTTTATTGCTTAAATTATATGGATTACTTTTATTTAATATCGTACCTTACAATTTATTTAATATTTTAGTTGTATTTAAAGTTAAGTTTTATTAATATTTTATTTCAAACTTTTATTTTTATTCAATACTTGATTTTATTCTTTATTTTAGATTTATTTTATTCTAATGTTTCATTTATTTATAATGAGGTTTGTTTTAGTTTTATTAATATTTTATTTTTAACTTTAAGTTTTTTTAATCATTTACTTTATTTTTAGTTTTTATTTTGATAGTATTGGTTTTATTGATTGTTTATAGTTAAGTTTGTTTTAGTTTTATTAGAATTATATTTCTACCTTTTATTTTTATTTAGTTTAAGGAATACTTATCTATTTTTTATTATTCTTTACTTTGATTATTTTAGGTATGAATTGTTTAATTTGTTGCTATTTTTCTTTATTTTATTTATTGCTGTATACCTGTCTTGTTTTATTTATTTATTTTTAGGTATACTTTATTGTTATATTATTCTTGTTTTTTATTATTTTATTTCATTCATATGAAAGTGGAAACAGACTAAATATATTTTATTAGAAATACATTAAACAACAATATCAGTAATCGTATAACAAGATAATTGTACAGAAACACATGGTATAAATGGATGGAAATAAACAATTTAAAACAAACAGAATTAAACAGTAGTAAATACAATTTTAAAAATGTATAAACTCAAACAGAATTACAAAAATCAGATATTTTAAATATATAACTGAAACAGTATTAAACAATATTAAATAGAATTTTAAAAATTTAAAACTGAAACATAATAATATTGATGATCATTTTAAAATGTAAAACACAAACAGAATAAAAATATTGAATAGAATTTAAAAAATTTATAACACAAAAAAACCAAAGCAGATATTTTAAATGTATAACTGAAACATTAAACAATATTGAATAGAATTAAAAAAAAAAAAAAAAAAAATTAAAACTGAAACATAAAATATTGATGATCGTTTTAAAATGTAAAAAACAAACAGAATAAAAATATTGAATAGAATTTTTAAAATGAACTCAAACAGAAAAACAAAAGTTATTTTAAAATGTATAACCGAAACAGTATTAACCAATATAGAATACAATTTGAAAAAATGTATCTCAAAAAGCATTAAACAATATTTAAGACAGTTTTAAAAATGTAAAACAAACAAAAATAAATTTAAATGTACAACTAAAACAGTATTAATAATATTGAATAGAATTAAAAAAAAAAAAATCATATCTTAAGCAGCATTAAATAAAATCATATGTTTAAATGTATAAACCTTAACTGTATTAAACAAGCCAAATACAAATGTTTAATTGTAAACTCAAATAGGAATATACAAAATTTTAAAATGTAAAAATCAAAAACAGAATTAGGTAAAATGAATACATGGGTAAAAATGTAAATTCTCACTAATCAAACAAGTCATTTAACAAAAGAAATCAAAGATGAAACACATACTTACAGTTGATCAAAACGAATAACTAAAAAAGGTTATCTAACATGGATAAAAATCTAGTAATGAGCAAATAAAAGACACCCTTATTATTCAGGAATCATTTATGTACCAAAGCATTTTTAATAGAACAGAGTATTGAACTCAAAATATGACGATCGCGTTTAGCTTTGTTCAGTAAATTCTGTACTTAAGTCAGTTTCTCATTTGTAACCTGCCGTTGTTCATCTATGTCTCTTTGCTGATGTAAAACATACTCGGATATCTGATTAATTTTTACCTTGTTTCGCTCCAGATACTGCAGAATTAGTTGATCAAAGTGTGGTTCGTCATCAATGTTGGATCCTCTTTGTGTACACTGAGCAGCATGTTGTTGAAAAATGAGGTCTCCGTCTCCAGACACCCTTTTCCGGCTCTTCTTCTTCTAAAGATGTGTGGGGTATATCCAGGACTACGCTAGCGTTGAAGCATAGCCATCGCTGGATTCTCCGTCATCAGTCCAGATTTGTGTGCTAGGGGCTGGAACAGCATTAAAAAGAAAAGAAAAAAAAAAAAAAAAAGTCTTTAATATATTGTTTAGAAAGTAGTAGTTTAACATTCCATAAAATAAAACACTAACGATGATGGGTCTCAATACTGCTTTGAGTAGGTCCACATGGGCTTGTAACCGGTGACCTATGAACAACAAAAGAAATGCATATAAATTTATTTTAAATCAACATAAATGTATAAACATGATAACCGATTAATATAATTTCCCATTCAATAAAACACTTACGCTGATGTATTTCAAAACTACTTTCAGCAGGTCCTAGCAGGCTGGTATCCGGCGATCGAGGAACTAAAGAACCACATATTTTATATTATTAAACAGATTCACACAAGGTCTAGCATGACGCATACAACGTGGATGTGCGCGCAAATCAACAGTTTCAAATTACATAACTTTAAACCATATAAAACGAGATGATACATTACCTAAATGAGATTTATCTTCATCGTCGTATTATGCTGATCCTGTACGTTCGTATAAATTTTTTGCCTTTTGTTTGAAACTGGGCTAAAATCAACAAGAAGCAAAAACAAGACAGCAAACAGAGTGAATAAGCAGGCATGGGTCAGAGGCAGGTGGCTAGGATCAGAGTCAGGATTCAGGCTGGGTTTGAGACAGGCGGCAGGCAAGACAAGGTCAATATACAGTCCGGGTTAGCAACGGGGAAAGCAGGCAAGGGGTAGAAACGCTCAGTGGCGTTTGCAGGGGCAGAACAAGACTTCGCACTGAGGTATGTGTGTGTGTGTGTGTGCTGCTTATATGTGAGTGTGTGGTGATCAAGGAGATGTGCTGCAGGTGTGTGTGGCAATCAGTGTTTGGAGATGACGTAATGTTAGAAGTCCGGTGATGATGACCTCTGCTGGTCAGCGAAGGGAATGACTGGGAGTCAGTGGCACATTTAAATAAAACATTTACCTTCTTGCCTTTGGTCATCAACATTGGATCGAGGACACACTACGAGATAAAGCAGAAATGTATGATTTAAAACAACCGTTTATCATGTAAAATATCCGTATAAAATAATATTTACTCACAGTATTGGTTGATGGCTTCAAAAGCAGCATTCTCTGTAGAATTTATTTCTGTAACATAAAAGCTGATAGATTGAAAATATTTCAGGTCACAGTTTGGCTGATGACTGGGGCCTGTTTCAGAAAGGAGGTTAAGTGAAAACTCAGAGTATTTTAACCCTGAAATGTGAGAAACTCTGGGTTTTTCGTTTCAAAATGGCAGGTTTGTTAAACTCAAGAAATCAGGGTAAGTCAAGCCTGTTTCTGAAAGAAAGGTAACTTCAACTCAGAGTCAGTTACCATAGTAACTTACTCTGTGAATCTAACCTGGTCGGGAGCAGGTTTTATTCTTTAACGAGTTTATGTCGGTCTCCTCCCCTTTTTTCAAAGTTTTCACATAACTTTTTTCAAAGTTTTCACATAACTTTTCACAAAGTTATGTGAATCATGACGTTTCCATCAATCGTTTTTATGGGCATCTCCAAAATGAGCTCTAAAATAGGTGTGTGGAAACATAAGGCTAAGGCGAGAAATACGCTTCATCTTTAAAAAAGGGGAGGAGACCAACAGAAACTCAGAGTTTAGAGAATAAAACCTGCTCCGGACCAGGTTAGGTTCACAGAGTAAGTTACCACAGTAACTGACTCTGAGTTAAAGTTACCTCTCTTTCAGAAACAGGCTTGACTTACCCTTATTTCTTGAGTTTAACAAACCTGCCATTTTGAAACGGAAAACCCAGAGTTTCTCTCAATTTAGGGTTAAAATACTCTGAGTTTTCACTTAACCTCCTTTCTGAAATAGGCCCCAGGGGCCTTACGAAGACTTGCGTGGAAATCATACTAAAATATTGCGTACGCACAAAGCTGTAAATGTGCAGAATTCCACACATATTCTTTTGTACATCTGAATGAACGTGAAACTGAGCGCAACATGCACGAGCACAAAACCCCTCCCTGCCTCCTCCCCCGTATGAATATGCTAATGACTCTACTTTGGCAAAACCCAATGAAAAAGCAATGGCAAAAGCAAGCAAAAAGATAAACTTTGAACAGAATGTGAATTGGAGGTGCTCCTTTCGGAGGTAGACTAGAGAAAAACTGTGTTATTTGCAAGTTTGTCCTCCGGAATTAACAACAAAAGAAAAAAATAGAGTGGGAGAGTTTAGCTGATGCAGTTAATACAGTTAAGTCTGAACATCGCACTGAGTGAATTAAAAAAGAAATAGTGTGATTTATAGGTGTAAAATGTTGCAGCACCCTTAACAGTCTCAGTGGCGCAACTCATAAAATGCATGTCATCACGTTTTGACACGTTCGAGCATGAACTCGGATTGAATCCAGCATCTGATGAACTCATTCTTCTTTTTTCCCCCACTACATATCAGATTTTGCCAACTATTTATCACGAGAAAGACAAGTAGGAATCATTAAGTTTGTGCATCATATTTTATTTGCACATTTATTAAATGGAAATGTTTCTGATTCAAGCATGCAAACTCATCTTCAGATAGTGTCTTTATAGCAATTTGCTTGCATTAGATAGCTCAGATTACATTGGGAAAACAGGTGACCGCTGCAAACTGCGCTTTAATGTTTGGCTGATCAACTGCATGGTATGGAAACCTTATATACCTGCTAGATGAACCCGTCTCATACAGCTGCCATTGCAAGGCTCAAAGACACTTAGTAGAGGAATTTAACACAACTGCCTCTAGGAGTTGCCAATGGAAATTAAACAGACACGCACAAAAAATATGCGTACGCCAGCCATAAAGCTGGCGTGGAGCTGCACACATTCCCACGTTCAGTTCATCGTTAGTAAATCCAAACGTGAGCGATTCTGAGCGTGAAACCTGGCGTACGCAAAGTTTTTGTGCGTACGCAGCGTTGATACATGAGGCCCCTGGTTATTTTAATTAAAATATCAGTTGTGTTTGGAAAAAAACATGGAATTTGATAATTGTAACTAATATGGTTTTTAGACTATTGCATGTACGTTGACGTAATACAGACACTTATTATTCAGATTAGGGTAAATATATTTCATTTAATTGGGTGAAAATGAAATAAAATAATATGAATATATATTTGTTGAGTATCCAGTAGATGGTGCTAGGGGTCTATGTATGTGCTCAGAGAACGTTCGAGGTTACTAAAGTAACCCTTCGTTCCCCGAGGAGGGGAACGGAAGCACTATAAGTGGATTTGATTTGTAAAATCCACGCATTGGGAGGTTCGGTTCAGAAGCTACTCGTCTGAAAGAGTATTGAACGGGCCAATTAAGAATGAATTGGCAGCGCAAGCCTGCGCAGGTGAGCGGCATAAGCAATCAACTGAGTATATAAGCTCACCTGGCGCCAGCAGACGCTATCCTTTTTAAGCTGAAGAGACTTTCAACAGCTAAGGGACAGTCATTATGGCGACGGAGTATAGTGCTTCCGTTCCCCTCCTCGGGGAACGAAGGGTTACTTTAGTAACCTCGAACGTTCCCCTTCGGGGGGAACTTCAGCACTATAAGTGGATTTGATTTGTAAAATCCACGCATTGGGAGCCCATTGAAAGCGCCATAATGACTGCACCTTACCAACACCCCCGATGAGGAGATAGTCAAGCAAGCGTGACGCACCCGCATCATGGGGGGCGCGGTCCTCCAACGTGTCCCTGGCCCTAATTTATCCTACTTCAACAGAAGTTTCACGGATTTAGATATATTTTTTGGGAAGTCGTGAGCATCTAGATAATTCTAGGAAATACGACAGTACGTTGGGAAGCGTGCAATCCCGATAGGGAGGACGCTGCGGAGGCCATCCGTTACCCGAGGGGGGATAGATGGCAGAATTTACATATGGACTAGCCCTAAAAAGGGGGAGTACGCATAGCAAAAGAGTGGTTAGCGGGGAGAGAAGACACGGGTCCGCCCAGGGGGGGGACTTAACCGTGGCAGAATAAGCATATGGGATCGCCTAGTGGGGATCACGCATAGCAGGCACCTTTACCCAAAACGCGGGCTGACCAGCGGGCAGACCTACAACGTAGTGGGCCAGCAAGTGACTCCTCCGCTGAGTCAGTGCTGGGGGCCACGGAGGAATCTGCAGGGCTCACCTGACGGGGAACTTTACTGACAGATAAAAAGGCGCACGTATCTCCGTGTTAGGGAAAATGGCGCAGCAAGCGTGTTTCAACACCCTACCGAATTGTTTCCTCAATCACCAAGGGTTACCTAATACCCTTGAGGAAACCGGCTCCACTCGCAGATTGTAAAACCTTGCAAATGTGTTGGGTGTCACCCAGCCCGCAGCTCTACAGAAGTCTGTTAGAGGGGCGCCGCGTGCGCGCGCTCGAGAGGATGCGAAACTCCGAGTGGAGTGCGCACGCGCTCTCGGGGGACGCGGCTCATCTCGGCTCTGATAGTGAAAGAAAGGCATCCACAATCTAGTGGAAACTTATTTCGGTACGGCACTTCCCTGCTGCCGACCGTTATAACAGACGAAGAGCTGCTCAGATGATCTAAACTCTGAGTGCGGTCCGGATAATACGCAAAACGCGAACTGGACAATAAAGAAGGGCTGGGTCTGCCTCCTCCGAGGGCAGCGCTTGCAGGCTCACTACCTCGTATTAAAACGGAGTGGTAGGAACCTTGGGCACATATCGCGGGCGGGGTCTCAGGACGTGAGAGAAGCCAGCCCAATTACAGGCACGAGTCACTGACCGAAAAATGCCTCCGGGTCCCCGACCCTCTAATCGATATCAACGCGACCAGCAGAGCTGTCTTCAGGGACAGAAAGATACTGAGTCGAGGATCGAAGGGATCTGACGCGGCTTGTGTAGCGAGGGCGAGATCCTAAGAGGGCATGAGAGGGGGCGGGATGGATTAATTCGCTTAGCGCCCCTGAGGAACCGGATGATGAGGTTATGCGTTCCCACGGTGCTGCCAGCCACCGCGTTATGAGAGCGGAGATGGCAGCCACGTAACCTTGAGTGTGGAGGGCGACAGCCTGCTCTCCAGCTTCTCTCGGCGTAAAGAAAGCACAACGCTGATCTGGCAAATTACGGGGGTCTTCTCAGCGAGAGACACACCATTCAGTGAATAGACTCCACGTCAGGGCATAGGCGCGCTCGGGGAGGGGGCTCTAGCCCGAGTGACGGTATTAGCCACCGCAATCGGAGGTTACCTAAGTCTTCCTCGCGTCTAAAACTCTTCAAAGATCGGCGAGGGTGCCAGGTGGTGCCCTGTCCCTGAGAGAGTAGGTGCTCTCTCGAAGGGACTGCCAGGGGAGGGCTATCGCGAGGGAGAGCTCTGACATCCAGGTCCGGTTGAGCCAGAGGGGCGCAACCAGCAACCTGTTCCTCGTCCTCTTCCTGACCTTGCACAGTAACTGCGCGAGCAGGCTCACTGGGGGAAACGCGTATTTGCGCGTGCACCGAGGCCAGCTGTAAGCCAGTGCATCCGTGCCGAGAGCACTCGGTCAGGGAAAGAACAACTAGCAATGAGCGATCTCGGGGGAAGCAACAGATCGATCTGGGCTTCCCCGAATCGCGCCCATATCAGCTGAACAGACTCGGGGTGGAGTCTCCATTCTCCAGGACGCAAGGCTGCCGTGAGAGCGCATCGGCTGCACGGTTGAGCTTGCCTTAATATGAATGGTGTGCAGCGATTTCAGCCGCGGATGACTCCAGAGGAGCAGACGGCGGGCGAGCTGAGACATGCGGCGAGAGCGCATACCCCCTATACGGCTGATATACGCCACCGCCGCCGTACTGTCGTCCTGACCAGCACGTGTTGCCGCTCCAGCACCGGAAAAAAACGGTGGAGAGCGAGGAACACTGCCAACAGCTCCAGGCGATATGCCAATGCAACTGGGTACCTTTCCACAGGTCCGCAGCCGCATGCCCGCAACGCACAGCCCCCCAGCCCGTGTTGGAAGTGTCTGCTGAAACGACAACAAGACTGGACGCCTGTTCTAGAGACACCCAGGTCTGTAGGAACGAGGGGTCGCTCCAAGGGCTGAGGGCGCGGCGACACAGCGCAGTAACAGAGACTCGGTGTGCGCGCGCGTGCCATGCGCGTCTGGGGACTCGATCGTGAAGCCAGTGCTGAAGTGGTCTCATATAGAATAATCCGAGCGGCATGAAGCGGCTGCGGA